AGGGTGCTTATTGTACCTGTTGTTCTCTCCTGTACAGGTGTGATACCACACACGCTACACAAAAGCCTGGGAACATTACAATTGAGTAGAAATACATACATCACACTACAGAAGGCCACTATATTGAATACATGCCATATTGTTAGGAAATTCCTTAATACTGACACTGACACACTTATTTAATTTTAGTTTTGTTTTGGTTGCTATGCCTTGACTCTGGTCCGGCATAGTACACAGCCACCGGTTTAACCGAGTATTACCCACTGAACCCAACATAATAATAATATTAATTTTTTTAACAGTTTAGATTTTTAAAAGTGATACATCAACCAAAGCTGAATATTATCAGGCCAGAAATGGTTATATTACTAATAATTTAATAAACAATTTGGCATTAGAGTTAGGCATTAGGCGTCATCTCTTGATTAATTTATAATTATTAAATTTATCAAGAGATGGCACCTAATGCCTAACTCTAATGCCAAATTGTTTATTAAATTATTAGTAATATAGCCGTTTCTGGCCCGATAATATTCGGCTTTGGTTGATGTATAGCTTTAAAATGTATCGGGTCTAGTAAGGATGTTTGATTTTTAAAAAAGTGTTATATGGGAAAACAAAATAAAACAAAAATTCTTTTGAATATATATGCTTAGAATATACAATTTAGCCTCAAATTTCATTAAGTTCCAAGACTAAGCCCATTAAAAACAAAATTACATATTTATGACAATCAACCAATCTGATTGCTCTACTCTATAAGTGAAATGCCACATCATTTGTTGTTCTCCCAAACTTGGTTTGTATAATAATGTCAATTTAAAATGATAACAATTTGCATAATATAAAAGAACAAGCAATAAGCTTAATATAAAAGTTCAGAAAAATATGTAATTTTTAAATATAGAAATTGAAACATTTTAGTCTGGTAATATATGGTTTGAAAAAATCCCAGTCTGGAATGTTTTGATTCTGCTATTGTTAGTTTGTAGATTTGCAAAAAGGGTGATGCTGTGAGCAGCAACAATATGCTACCAAGTATTTCAGTTATTGTTTGGAAGATTAATCCTTCAAGATTTTAAACCATAATAAACTCTGTTATTTATGTAAGAGCATTTAACACTTTTAATATATAAACCCGCTTTATCAGAAATGTAATTTTTCAATTCACCCTGACATTTTATTTTTTACAAATCCTCTTTATCCAGCAAACATTGTAATTAATAACAAAAACTAATAATGATTAATAAATGAGTGAAGCTATCTATTTGAAGTTCAGAAATTTATAAAATTTTAACACATATATAGGAAATGTCAGCATAAAAATACAATGCTATTATGTCATGCCTCAACAATGCTAATACTAAACAGTTCTAACATATATAACATCATATGATTAAAAAATTCACTAAATAAGATACTGGTTTTTAATTTGGTTCCTACTATACCAAAGTGTCTATTCAATCTTGGAAAAGAATCTCTCTAAGAATTCTAAGGTTTTCCAGACAATTCCGAGATTTTTTCAGGCTTAAGTTAGCATTCTTTTCCAATATTTTCATTAATTGTGTTTAGTTCTAATTGATATTTTAAAATTAATATAATGAAGTTTAAAAAAACATTTAAGGGATCATCTATAAATTGCATAATGCTATCTTTTATTCTTCAATTACCTTCCCCATTCTTGGTTATGCTTCATAACTGCTGTTATGGGGCATTACCAGGAAGTATATGCAACAGTGATGCATATACCCACTCTCAAAATTACATAATGCATATCCTTAATCAACACCCTTAATTATAGTGTGAAATAATACACTGCAAAAGGTAGTCATGACATCATGGATGTTTGTCAGTTATGCATGACATAACAGTGAAATAAAATACTAAAATATGCTTCTGCAACTTGTTATCACCTTGAACTTATGTCTGTAAGAGAAAATTAGATTGCAAAATAGTCCAGAGTACTTCTCAATCTAACCTTCAACAATTTAAATGTTTTCATAGCTTTATTTTGTGCCCAAAAAATACAGAAAAATCATTTTCAGGTCCTGAGAAGCACCACAGTCTTCCCATCATTTATTTCAGGCTGAACTTGTTTGACATTAGTCCACACTATTGCAAAGTTTGAAGGAAGCCTAGTCAAGGATAATGTTGTGTAAACTAAACAATGTATGATATTAAAATTTGCCATATGCAGAAGACATATCATGGGATTTTTCAGAATCATCAAATTCAAGGAATGGCAATTATATGCAGTGTAATCATATATGAAAAAATGAGTAGAAAATCAGTGTTACTCATGTCCACATGTTAAAAAACTGCATGTGATTACAGGTAAATAGAAAAAATAAACTACAGATAGTCTTACTTTGAAACTGTACTGTAGTTTTTATGCTGAAAATTATTTCTTTAGGAAAAGAACATTAATCCACAACAAGGCTTACCTTGTCAGACTGTTTTTATTTTGTCAAATAGTCTGACAAGGCAAATTTTGGTGTGGATTAATGTTCTTTTCCTAAAGAAATAATTTACAGCAAAGAGTAAAGAACTAAATCACACTTCTCATTTCTTGATCTCCAAAAGAAAACAATTAGAAGATACAAAGAACAATCAATTTTTAAAAAAACCTTCCTCATTCAAGCAGTTCTAAAAACAGTTCTATAAACAAGAAATTTTTAATATTGGTCAATCTAGAAAAGATTACTTTAAACAATATTAAAAGCTTTCATACTCTAACATGCAATTTCCTTTTAAGTTCCAGGATTCTAAATTTATTGTCAAACATCATTTTTAATTTTCATTTTTAAACATGAAATAAAAAAATATATTAATATTAGTTTTCACTTTATTTTTGTTTAATTTCTGAACTTCTTTAAGCATTAAAAAAACTTTTGAAATATTTTTCAAAATCAAAAGATATATTAAACTACATATAATTTAATAATGAAATTATAAAGTAATTTTTTAACTAAGATTTTCTATGTAAACTATTTTGATATTACCTTTTACCTTTTTAATGAATTCTTTAGTTAATGAATCAACATCAACTAAGAACAACTCTGGAATTTTCACTTGTGGTAGATAATATCCATGCATAGCATTCCGAATTGCCTTTTGAAAAAATAAATTTTATTAAAATAACTTTTTTGTTAATACTGCATTTAATATTGCATTAATGAAATTAAATATACTTACATCTAGATGGCATTCTTCAGTAATACTTTTAGGAATACCTCTGTTAACCCATTTTCCCTCTTCTATTTCTACAGTTAAATGCCACAAGCATCTGTCTAATAGGTATGCTGGTCGTAAATGTGGAGAATTAAGACAGTTATAAGCACACTCTGGATGCTCTTTAAGCCAAGGAGATTCATTTGCAGTATGATTAAGAACAATATCTGTTATAGACAGCATCTTCAAAATGCAAAAAAATTCTTTTACACTGAATAAAAATTAAAGTGTTGAAAATAATAAAAATATTTATTATACCTTCCATTCTACTCTCATTTTATGAACTAATTCTCTCACATGATCAAATGTATAAAATTTATCTTTTGTATTAAACATGGGATTCAATTTAAGCTGATCTGCTAAGGAATACGAAGATAATGAAGCTCCTAATTCTTGAATTGGTGTGAAATGAATCATATTGTAACCAGCTTCCTTTGAAACTAAAAGTCTTTTTTCCCATTCAGGAAATTTTCCTAAACATTTCGATAAATATGTGTGACACTGAATACAATCTAATGGCAACACTTCAGCATTATCAGGTCCATACATCAAAACTGGATCAACTAATAAATAACCAGAACCATTGGATCCTTTTGTTGCACTGGAAACAAAATAATTAATTAACATAATAACTGATTTTTTATTTGTATAATGCAATCTTACCTATTGTCATATGTAAAATAATAATGAAAGGAACCAGTCAATTCAAAAGTGATTTCTGCATACAATGCTGTGTCATCAGATTTATTGATGCTTTGTGATCTTAATGGAAGTTTTTGATATTTATTTCTTTGAAATTCATCTGCAGCATCTTTTGGATAATTTATGTAAATAGATACTTTTTTCCCAAACAATGAAGGTCCAAGAGTGAAATGAAGAGTCCAACCTAAAAATTTCATATTCATAATGTTATTGCATACTTTTGTAATTTGGCAGAACATAACTGAACTAATTAATTTAAAAATACCTTTTTCTAACCTAAACAATGTTGTTTCTAAATTTTCTTTATCATTTAGCTGGTGAACTCGAACTTGTGGAGCAAGAGGATGATTACCAGGCATCATAGATGCAGCCATACTGAAAATTCTAAAGGAAAAAAAAATGAATGCAAAACATCCCATACATAGATTATTTTTTAACTTAAAAATTTAAATAAAATATGCCACAACATAGATTAAAAATATTTGTATATATATATATATTTTGAAAATCTGTTTATTACAAAGAACATACATTAAAAATAAGTATATATAACTAAACAAAAGAATGATTCGAATAAGATTCAAAATTGAATCATGCATTATATAAACCTAATTATTATTACATTTAAATATGGTTAATAAATTAAAGATTTCTATAAAATAAATTTCTCTGAATACCAAATCAATTATTATTATTATTTTTTAATTCTTTCCATTTCATAGATCCTAAGAAAACCTTTTTATATTCTCATCATAGCAATGGTCAGATCCACAGTAATGTGATTAGATGATAAGAGATCAGGCATAAACTACTAATAAAAATTACTGAGAATCTAATCCAAATCTGCCATTGTGCAAATAAAATATTTATAAAAGTAAAATTAAATAATGTACATGTACAAGGGCAGGCTGAAAAGTAATGCACACATGCTTGTAGAATATGAACAAAAACAAATAGCAAGATCAGGCAAAAAGTGCATTAAAGTACAATTCTTAAGCTTCAAAATCATATATTTATTTTTCAACATAGTCACCATTAAGGCTAACACATTTCTCCCAACGTGTAACAAGTTTTTTCATTCCATCAGGACTTGACAGCTGCCTTCATCTCATCGTCTGAGGTGTAATGATTACCCTTGAGGTCTCTCTTAAGTAGAGGAAACAAATAAAAATCACAAGGCACAAGATTGGGGGAATAAGGAGGGTGTGGAATCAGTTCAAACTTCAAAGGTAGGCCATAAAATTGCCATGCCCCGTTAAACATTGGGTGGTTTCGGATCTAGGTTTGTAGTAATTAGCCTTGATGCGATTAGTAATAGAGGGTATAAACTGGTGGCAAAGTCTCCCCATTGTAAAATTATTCCAATTTTCCTGCCATTCAAGTAGTGCCCATTCGTTTAAGGAATTTTTCAGTGTTGATTTTGGTAACCTGGTATATGTATACTGCGTCTTGAGAGTACCAGACATTTTGGCCAAAGAATCAGCCAGTTCGTTTTCTTTATGACCTTTATGAGCTGGTATCCAACTGAATTGAATATTGCGGGTAGTGCTGAGATATTGTGCTACTTTAATAACTTCTTTGTCCAGTAGCGTGATGTTTTCAGTTTTTGCCAAGACATGAAGAACCACCTTACTGTCAATAAGGAATTTTATGTTACCCTTGTATTTATTTAAGTTATCTTTTATTTGGGTAATTGCTTTGTACGTGGCCCATAGTTCAGCTTGCGTAATGCTACAATGTTTAGCAAGTTTTAATCTGGCCTGATATATTGTCTTATTGTTGTTGTTTTGAATGCACACACCAGCTCCCACTCCGCACTCTTGCTTAGAACCATCTGTGTACACTATCCACTGAAAGTATCTGTTTGTTTCGGGATTATAATCGAAACTTATTTCGTAGCTGTGCATGTCTGCTGGGTGTAGTTGGAGGCATATATCATTACTAGTTCTATCAATTTCATATTTTTTAATAATATCAGGTATATTCCAGTAGCTGTTTGGAATCATTTTATTTTTAATACGTTTTTCAATATCCTCCTGTGTGTAACTGTGTAGCCGAATATTAGTGCAGAGCCAATTCCAAACTGTTTTTCTTGCCGTGATATGTATTGGCATTAGTCCAGCCAGTACCAGTATTGCATCTGTCGGAGCTGTTCGATAAGCACGAGTAATCCTTATTGCTGCTCTTCTCTGTATCGACAGTAATTTTTTGCAAACGTGTGTTGTTAAGTGCGTCTTGCCATACAGGGACAGCGTATAAAATAGCTGGCTCAATTGCCATCTTATAAATTAATTTGCTGTTTGTAAAGTTTAATCCCCAGTGTTTTCCAATAATCCAATTGAGGAGGTTAGCTCTTTGACTCGTTTTCTTGCTAATTTCATTCACATGATGGTGCCAACTGAGCTTTGGGTCAAAGAATATTCCAAGGTATTTCAAAACTTTCACCTGTTTAATTCTGTTATTATCCATACAAAGTTTAAGGGTTTTTTGTAACTGTCCACGTTTATTTTTTCGAGTACACACCATTGCTTCACACTTTGCATAGTTAATTGGGAGCATCTGTTCCTTGCTCCATTGCAGTATTTTGTGAAGTGTTCCATTAGCTTCATCGGTCAGTTTATCACAATTTTTATTTGCTATCATTATAAGTAAGTCATCAGCAAAAGCTTGGACCTTTAGATCATTGCAATGGTCAAAATTCATCAGTAGTGTATCGAACAACAAATTCCATAGACCCGGGCCGCTACAGGAACCCTGTGGGCAACCCGTTTATTGTTCTCCTTATATGAATGTAGTTGGAGTGAAACTCGATGAATCTTTCGTTTAAGTAACTATCTAATAATTTGTTGACACTTCTTGGATTGTTAACATCTTTGAGGCAATTTTTTATGAGTGGCCATCTTAAGTGGTCGAAGGCATTTTTATAATCGATTGCTATTAATAAAGCATGTTTGTTCTCCTCCCATGCTTTGTATACAAATTCTTTAACGCTCAATGCCGCGTGTATCGTTGATTTGTTTGTTCAAAATCCAAATTGGTTTTGGTGCATATGGCCATTCTTGTACAGGTGTCTGTTGATCCGTTTAATAATAAGTCCATCAAGGACTTTTCCCATCACAGAGAGTAGGCTAATTGGCCTGTCATCACCAGGACTAGATGGATTATCGTGTTTTGGATTAACTTTATATTCGCCGTCTTCCATTTTGCCAGGAAGTAACCATGAGCACCAGAACATGTCTCCATATTTCCGCTTCTCAAAATATACTGAATGAACGCAACAACCTCAAACTGCACATGCACATAGAGGGGGGAATGTTACTTCCATATGCCACCTGGCATGCTTCTGAAAATCATTTCGTTTGTGCTCTACAAGCATGTTTGCATTACTTTTCAGCCTGCCCTCATATATAAAATTTACAAGTTTAGAAAACAACTAGAGGAAATAGTTCACAAAACTTATATCTTTATATATCCAGCAACAAATTTAATAAAAATAAAAATGTTTTTGATCAGTTTTGCTGATCTTTCTCAGTTACAAAATATAAAGGAATGGAAAAATAAAAACACAAATACAAATTTAAAAGACCAAGAATTTGAAATTAAGGTCATTATCTTAAAAGTAATAAAATACACAAATAAATAAATAACAACAAGTACAGTACATGTAAATTAATAAAAATAAATGAATAAATATCCGTTAATAAAATGAAAAAATAATTAAATTTTGTAAATGGACCGCCATGCATTAGACAGATTATCTGCATCCTTATGGTTGATGCACTTGGATGTTTTTATGAGCCTTATAAATTTCTAATTTTCTAGATGTTCTATAGGGATGGGCAACCCATGGCCTTCAGCTGCATGCAGCCCACATTGCATAAAATACGAATAAATATATCAATTTTCCAGCTTAAGGAAGTATGCAGCAAAAATTCGAACATTATTTTCTACAACTTATGTATGTAAATAGTTTTTCCCACAATGAATTTAGTAAAAATTAAAACAATAAATCAAATCAAAACTAATTTAAAACTAGCACTGACTAATATTTAACCAAATATTTTCGATATAATACATTTACATCAGTTTGACAAGCTAAATTAAGTATAATTTTGCTAATTTATAATAATAATTTATACGTGAATAAATAATGGTAATTTACCAGCATTTTTCCCCCCTTTTTTCTGTTCTGTGTGGCCTGTGTCAGTTCAAAAGTTTTGAAATGGAGCCCTTATATACAAAAAGGATGCCCATCCCTTTTCTTTAGTATATGTATTAGACATGGGTCTGATGATTTTTGCTTGCTCCCAGTTTACTTGTATGTCTTGATGTTGCGAGTAAGCTGCCAGTGTCGTGCTATTGACACTTTTTTCAATTGCATACTTATGTCCCCCGAGTCATTATTGAAAATTACATCCAGTAGCATCTAGGTAGACCAGTTTTGATTTGAAACATTTGTCTTTGTCATCTATTGGGATAGAGTAAATTGATAGATGACCAATGTTTCAAATCAAAACTGGTCTACCTAGATGCCACTGGATGTAATTTTCAACAATGACTCAGGGGACATAAGTACGTAACTGAAAAAAGTGTCAATAGCATGACACTGGCAGCTTACTCGCAACATCAAGACATACAAGTAAACTATAATAAAAATAAATGAATAAATATCCGTTTTATTAATAGATATTTATTCATTTATTTTTATTAATTTGCATGTACTTGCTATTTATTTATTTATGTATTTTATTACTTTTAAGATAATGACCTTAATTTCAAATTCTTGTTCTTTTAAATTTGTATTTGCGTTTTTTTATTTTTCCATTCCTTTATATTTTGTAACTGTGAAGATCAGCGAAACTGATCAAAAACATTTTTATTTTTATTAAATTTATTGCTGGATTTATAAAGGTATAAGTTTTTATAAAATTTACAATTTTCATTTTCAAAAATAAATTTAATATTGTTCAAAACATTTCAAAATATTTAAAATCTAAAAATTCATATTACAAAACCTGAAATTCATATCTTATTTCAATAAGAGATTAATCAGCAAATAATAAAAATTCATTCTTGAATTCTAACATATACAAAATTTCATTATATATATTATTTTACTAAAGTACTTAAAACAAATAATGACACTAATATAAACAAAAATTTTTCAATGCATGTATTATATATTGGGTTGTTTGAAACTTAAGTTCGTTTTTTTCCATGGGAAAAAAACACAATATTTTTATAATAAATAAATATTTTATTGAATTATATATC